TTGTTACCTTTAAAGAGTATACGGAAGAGGGATCAAATTAAAAGTAGCTTCTCTTGCAACACATTCATTGCCATAGCTAATACTGCCGACTTTTAATCTTATAATCTCTTTAGTCTCAAAAAGATGAAAAGTCAGTGTTCAGAAGATGCTACAGAAACAAGCATGTTAAATGTGAGCATATTTCACTCCTAAAGAAGAATCAGAACCTGCTTCAAAGTATTCCTGCGATACATAAATTCTGTTTTGTTGTGGAGGCAGGGTCTCAAAAAGATGAAAAGTCAGTGTTCAGAAGATGCTACAGAAACAAGCATGTTAAATGTGAGCATATTTCACTCCTAAAGAAGAATCAGAACCTGCTTCAAAGTATTCCTGCGATACATAAATTCTGTTTTGTTGTGGAGGCAGGTAAATACTATTTCTGTTTAATAATAAACTTTACATGTTTTCCTCACTTGTCATGAGTTCATTTGAGGCATTTAAAATAAACAAATAAATAAATGAAGCAGTACCTTTCTGTATTCCTGAAGGACAACTTGAATTTCTTTTAGTTCTGGAAGGTCAGGCAGAAAATATATTTCATGTAAAAAGTCTCGTACTGCATCCCTAATAGTTACAAAAAAAAAAAATTGCAAAGAACCGATCCAGCTAATGCTTGCGATGAAAAAACTTAAAAACCCATCAAGAAATGTAATGACAAGAAGAACAAAGGCTTGAAAAGCAGGAAAAAGTAAATTCCATGAATTTTTCATTTAGTTAAAGTATTTGTATTAAACAATTTGTTTCTCTTATTACTCAACTAAGCCACAAGTATTTCTCCCCTATACTTTAAATTACTTTCTCTTTTAAAGACAGTTCTTTCCAAAGCTTTCAAAGTTGCCATTCACCTCTACCAGGTTTGGCTCTCCTTATTGGACACTGGCCAAAGGGTGAGAATAATCCCATTTGATGCAAATCCAGTTCCAGTTTTCGTCATAAGAGAAGAAAACACAGAACCAAAATAAGAATTCTGGTTCCTAACATGAAGGATTCTCTTTCAATTTTGCTACTATGGGCTTCTACAAGAGCCTTATTATTCCTATTGTCATCTTTTATTTTGAATAATCCTGGTATGATACAGTGCAAGAAAGTGAAAAGCCAACAAAAGTAATCGAGATATAAACTATCACCATTCCTAAAAAAAAACCAAACCCAAACATAATTTTAAGCTACAAAACATAAGATGAAAAAGAATTAAGACTCAACATTGTTTTCAGAAAGGTTAAGTCACAAAAATTTGTCTTTTGTAGTAGACTTTGATTTTATTTTCAGTTGGTGTGACTACTTGTGAAAAGGATGTATGAAAACTTACTCAATATTAAATTCTGTGCACTTCATAATTATAACTTTAATTATTGAAAGAAACAAAAGAACTCATTTCTTCCCTATTTCCAACTCTGTACACTTCTCTCCAGCTTAGAGCAAACGTTAGCAATCATTGTTATTCTGTTTGCATGCCCTGTAGAGGTAAGTCATTTTCCGTACCAGCAGAAATAATGCAGAAATCTGAAAACCTGGCAGGGGGAAGTGTCTGAATGGGTTGTAACTTCGCCATAGTGTAATATACTTTTATAAGGAGAACATAAAAACACCTTTTCAGATGAGGCTATCACTTGTCAAATCTCAAAATCTCATTGCAATTTAGAGAAGTGGGACTTTTCTAGAACATAGTACGTTGCAGAAAAACAAGTTTTCTCATCTCAGTGCTGGACAACTGTAATTTATTGTTATCCCCATTCCTATTACAGGATTTAACCCATATAACTGAAAATATTTTGTACGGTACCTGTTCTCAACTATGAGAAAGTAAAATACTGCTGTAGTTTCCTTTGGCTGGATATGTATAAGGGGCAATAACGCTACTATCACATGACTAAGCAAGGAACCAAGGTATGAAATATCCAGACTTCGAACAAAACAATCCCAGGCTCTAAACAAGAAAAGACAACAAAACAATAGTAATCAATGATTCTTCTCTGCATAAAGACATTTTAGGTGAGTCATGAGAAGCATTTTAAGTTATTTCAGCTCTGTGGTTTAGATTATTGTCTAGAACAAAACTTCGTCATAGTGTCATATACTTTTATAAGGACAATATAAAAACACCCTTTCAGATGAGGCTATCACTTGTCAAATTTCAAAATCTCATTGCAATTTAGAGAAGTAGGACTTTTATAGAACATACTATTTTGCAGAAAAACAAAACAGTGTATTCGAGGACAGAAATGGCAGGTACGTCACTGTTTGGGTACACTATCACTTCACCTGCAACACAGTTCTGGAAAGTCATCCTTGTATCTTAGAGCTGTTCTCAGTGTAGTCATCATCTTCACTCTTACTGAACTGATGTGTTTGGGACCCATGAGCTTCATTAAAGACATAAGACTGTTTAAAGCCTAGACATAGAGAAAAGTCATTTTAGCGTATTAGATACTCAGTAGAACATATACAAGCCATATTTTCTAATAAAACCAGGCTACCCTGGCTTAAGAAATCATACTCTATAAGGCATAAAATTCAGCTTGATTCAATAAAGAATTTGAGGGTTAGAGGAAAAGAGAATGAAAGGGGATCTGTAATGACAGGACTGTAACAAAAAAGTCGTTATTTAGGCTGTTGACAAATTGGTGAGGGAAGAACTGTGGACACCAAAGGAGTTCATGGTTATAGAAGTCGGTTATAGAAGTCTGTTATAAGACATGATTGACTATATGTCCAAATTTTTAGAAGCTGAAAAGAGCAGGTTTTGAAAATATAGAGAAAACAAACAAACTTACATTTAAAAAAAAAAAAACAAACCCACACCAACAACAGAATCGACATACAACTTTTGGCAGAAGTGATTGGTAAGCTTCAGGGAACAGGTAATAGCTCAGTTGCCAATGGGACTGATGAAAGACAGGAAGAGAAATACTGAGATGCAGAAAAAGCAGGAGATATTTCAGTCACAGTAACACGGGACCAAACAAAGGTAGTACAATGTCCAGCATGACAGATCAGTAGCACAGGAAGAAACCTGAGCTTGAGGAAAGGTCATGGAAAGGGAAACTCATCAAGAACAAAAAACAGAACAAGAAAAGATAGAAACAATAGCAGGTGCAGCAGAACAAATGCTATACAAATTAAGAAATTTAGAAAGCGTGAAGACATGGGGCTATGAAAATGAGAGCGTCTCGACGTGAATATATGAGAAGCAAAAAGCTTGAAAGAACACCAGAGAAAATGCAGTCCATCAATGTAAAGGTTATATAAATTCTAGCACTGAAAAATTCCCTACAGAAACCATCTGCACTACCTCCGTGAGGCGGCTAAAAGCCCTGTCTTCTGTTTAGCAGCACTGCCTCAGCAGAGCAGAATTTTCAGACTTTGTCTCAAGGTGCGAGCTCTAATTTTTCTAAATGCTCTCTACTGTAAAGCTGAAAGGAGCTGTTCTGTGAGAAACAAAACCAATAAAGCCCAGTTTCTCTTGGATTTGCATCTTATTTTCTTTCGCTTTGCCTTTTGGTACCCTTATAACCCTGTTCCCTGCAGTAACCCCAGTTTTCTCCCATATTCCCTCATCCTCCACTTTGTTTCTTTCACACACATAAAACATACACTTGGATTCCTCCTCTATAATTACTGGTTGAATGACTTGTTACATACACCATATCTGACTGAAATATGTGCATTAGCCAACCATTAAAGAAACAAAACAAAACCAACTTTTGAGCTTACACAGAAGTCCTACCCACAGTGAGACCATCAGTTTCCAAGAATCATGTGGGAATCTTAGGATCTTTGAGACTTCAATGACAGTTGCACAATCACATAAGTAAGCCTGGAATATTAAAATAGCCCTTGCTTATCTTTGTTTTGATAGTCAACATTAAGTTTACGCACCATTTTTTTATCCTCAATGCCAACACTGGAACTCAGTAACTGCATGTTAAAAAAAGCCAGGATACCAAGCAATTTAGGTTGCAGATAATCAGCCTGGGGGGGGAGAAAAAAAAAAGCAAGTAATCTTGCTATTAATACATTCCTAAGCTTAAGAAATTAAAAAACAAGTATGAAATGCTAATTCAGAAAGACAAATGAGAAGAATCCCAAATATATACGCTGCTCCTTAAGAAATATCAGTGTTAATGAAAGACATCCCTATTAGGCTGTAGGGTTTTTTGTTCTGGTAAGATTTTAGGGTTTGTGTGGTTGGGGGTGTGTGTGTGTGTGTGTTGGTTTGTTTGGGGTTTTGTTTTGTTTTTTATGCATACTTGGTATGTATCTCCCTATTACAGGAACACTTAATATGAAATGCCAGCCTTTCCTCCACTTTTTGCCTCGAATAAGTGATGTTCAGAGAATGTCAAATTGTCTTCACTCTCAGACTGGACAAAGAAATTGTTGAACAAAACTGAACATGAATATTTTGGCATTCTTACCATTTGTTCAGGTGATGTTATTTCTCTAGGTCCCTGATAGGGATCATCATGAGATGCAAATGAAGCCAGTATTGACAAACCATTGAAGACTTGTTGATAGTGTTCTCCTATACGCAGCAGTAATTCATTATGCAGTCCTTGGTAGTCCTGTCTCAGCAAGCTGCCCAGTTCTATCTCAGTCTCATTCTATAATCAAATAGCAAATAGAAACCAAGGCTTCATTTCATCACAACGAAACTAGCACACTGAGAGACAGGAGGGCATTGGACTCTGGTTGATTTACCATAGTGATCAAAGAAAAAGCTTCCAATTGGCTCAATGTTAGATAAACCAAGTTTTTAAGAGTTTTTCAGTTTGCAAAATATCTTATAACAGTTCCTCAGAGCCAACGGAACAGATTATAAATACCAACAAGAACAAAACTTCTGCATATACAACTTCCCCACCTATACTTTGCAAGACCTTAACTTAAATAAAGCAGAAAGCTCACTGTTCATCAATTGTTGCTCCTAATCGACATGTATAATAGAGCAAATGTCAATTTACCTTGAGATAATGAAGCGCCCGCTCAAGCTCATCCTTGGAGCAGGAACAGACCAAATGAGAGAAGATGTATTTGAAGTTATTGATTAAAATCTCTCTTCGGTTTACATTCAACTGTTTTGCTATAGTTCGAATAAGTGTGGAGGCTGCAGGACTAGCCTTGGCTGCAAGGTCAGGAAGCAAAACTTGTAGGGTCCGCTGGTAAATTAAGAACAACACTTAATGGAAGAAACAAACAAACAAAAACCCCTCCAAAAACCGAGGGTTCGGCTTTGTTCCATTTGTGTTAGTACAACACCACACATCTCTGGTCATACATATGACCATAGGTATGAATAAAGAACTTTAATGAGATGGAAATACCTAGTAAAAACGCAGATAAAATAAAAATACTACTTAAGGAGGTGTTTCATCTAATCAATACTGAGAAACACGTAAACAGAAAGTGAGCTACCATTTTCTTTGTCCATCCAGATATTCCACAAAAGGAAATCTTAAAAGGAAAAAAAAAACAACCCAGACAAAAAACATAATAAAAACCAACACACACACCCCCCCCAACACTCCCTCAACCCACCAGTTAACTAGAACACTGCTTACTTAACAGTTGTGCATTTCCCATCTAACAACAAGCAAAATACAAGTATCAATATGAAGCTACTTAGGCTTTAAGTAAAACAGATATCTAACCAGATCAAGAAGAGATCTATCCACAGGACAATAGCTTTCTTCATTTGAAACAAGAAAGCAGACACTGCAAAAATCACGCCTTACAAAGAATCTCTCCAAGTGCACTAAATCATTAATATAGGTATACTCAGTGAGTACTCTAGACCTTAGTTAGTTCATCATCTGTCATACTTGAATTAGCATTGTAGCCATCACTGTAACTTCTTGATAAAACCGTTCCTCTGTATTTGAGCTCCCAGTTGCAGCAATCCCAAACTATTCTATATTATAACAAACAACAGCAACTAAAGAAAAAAAAATTCAAATCTGCAACATTGACAGAAAATTGTGGACTAAAATCAAAATCCACAAGCACACACACAAAAATCAAAAGTAAAAAGGACTGACCAACTTACTGAGAGAAAGCGATTTAGATCTGGAAAATCAAATACATTGGCGATCTCAGATAACATGTCCAGAGCCATTTCTCTCTGGTGAGCAGCTGTTTGTTTCTGTAGCTCATTACCCTGGCATGGAGCACTCAATACTGCCATCTGGCTGGAGTGCAGGGATTCCACTAGAAACTAAGCATGAAGAAATATATATATTTAGCATTATTTTCCCCTTTTTCGCTCCCTAAAAACAAAACACAAGAGTTTCGCTCCTCTTTCTATGCATCTGTTTTTCTTTCTTATTTATTGCACATAGATCTATGGTTATTACTTTGCGATAGAACTAAATTATCGTCCACTTAATAATTGCATTTAATTTTGCAAGCCTGGATTCAGACATTGCATTATTAAAAAAAAAATTCAAAATTAGAAAAAAGTCTGCTTTTGATAATTTTCTTTTAAAGAGAACATCTGTGTTTAGATAATGGGTATAACAAAAGAACAAATCAATCATGTCAGTATTATGCCTGTAAAACATTGACTTCAATTCCAATTTTAAATCATAGCCTCTTGTGGCAATGGTACCACAGAATGCAAGAAACTATATAGTTCCTCTGTTTCAGAATGACAGAATCTAGGGAATAAAAAAGAAAAGCAATACTGTTGAGGGGAGAAGACCATGACAAAGTCAAAGATTTCCCACTCCTTCCTGTATGTTTGCAGGGGTTTTTTTGTTTTGTTTTTTAAATCATCTCTTTCTTGTCCTACGAGATTTCACCTTGTAAAATACTGTAATTTTTACCTTTAATACCATTTTCAAAATACACAAAAAGAACCTAAACATATGCCTTTCTAAACCACCAACACTTTTCTTTTTACCTGACAGATAGGCTTCTTGTACTGACTGAAAAAAGCTTGCAGTTTTATGGACTTAGCTGCTGCCAGGGATCGAATTTCTGTGTATGCTGCTCCAGCCACAGAAGCTGACTTGGACAACAAACAGTGTAACAAATGCAGGAGGGCAAATGGTACCAAATCTCCTTTTGATGCCCTTACAAAGTAAGCAGAAGAAAAAGAATTAAAAAGGAAAAAAGAATCATTGCATTAATAAAATTACTTAAGAATATAAAATTACCATAATGCAAAATGACTCATCATTGTATTTGCATAGCTTATCTGTACTTCCTATGACAGGGCAGAAGAAAATGAAGAATATTCCGTATGAATCAACAGCTTAGTACAGTTGCAAAGGACTGGACAAAGGCTGACCTTGAAATAAGTAATTCAATCTCACATTTACACTTGAACAAAAAGTTACTTTGCATCACAAACTGATAGTACTTTGCAATTTTCAAGATACTATCAAAAATACCTTCCAATATCTCCTGTTGTGAGAATCAAGGTATCTTTAAGCTCATTATTTCTTGATATTTTGGCATTTGTATAGGCTTCTTTCATCCTTGAAACAAACAGCTGGAACACATGAAAACAAAACAAAAAATAATTTTAGAGCGTTTGACATTAGTGAAACAAAAACCTTTGTAAGTTAAGAAAAACAACCAAAAATAAATATGAATTCACCTCTTTTATGAATCCTTCTTCAGAGTCTAAGGATTCTAGTATGTTCTTTATGCAGTCACTGAAAGCCACTCTTACATCTTTATCTGGATCTTCCATTAGATTTAATAAAGACCCAACAAGAATCTTCACACTGGACTCATCAGTGTTAAAATCCAGATGTTTGCAAAGATGAGGTATATTTTCTATAAATGCTGGGTGGCATGGGTTGGAGGAAGAAAGAAAAAAATATTTTTAATGCTTTTTAAAAAATCTATTGAAGTGCACTAAGCAGTGATGCAAGTAAGCCATAAAGCACACTGTATTTTTTTTATCAAAAGAGTAAATATTGTCAAACCAGACAAGCTATTTAAAATTCAGATTTTATCAAATATTACATTTCTAGATATAGCCATAGACCAAAATTAAGCCAAGGTAGTTTAAAAAGAATATCAATGACAACATCAAACATTAGCAGTGATATAAACTGAAATACATTTCAAGCACCATTATAGCTATTAAAAAAGCAATATAGAAAAAAAGGAATGGAGAAAGGTACAGAAGCAGTGACTTAATACTTCATACAGAAGTACAAGATGTTAATAAAGGTAAAGTCACATACCTAGCTTTACTGAACTGGATACTTTGTTCTCGAGGAGAATAAGAAATGGCTTGAAAATGCAGGCTTGCACAGAACAAGTTTTTTCATGAGCAGAAGTCACAGTAAGGCTGCTACATAAAATATCATAAGTAACATGCCTAATAGCAGAGTCTGCTAAGGAAGGTCGTACACTGAATGTACCAGAAAGACAGCAAGATAATTTCCCAACTATAGCAGCACAAGCCTCCTTGACTAGCTCAGACTCATCTTTGATTTGACTTCTGAAATTGAAACAAAAATTAAACCATTTTAATTGATTGTTTACCTAGAAATTTGTATTTCTACATTGTCTGAATTCTCTAACTATACTGAAACTATTAGGACAATTTAAGGATCTGTCTCACTAAATTATCTTTTTCCTTTTCAGATTACCCTCAAATTCTATTAAATGTTTGAAGTAGCACTGTGCACAGTGAGTCTGGCATGTTATAAGGAAACTGAAGACTAGACACAATAGGACAGAAGACACCAAGACATATATACAAAAGGCAGAGAAATTGGAAAGATTTTAAGAGACATATGGACAAATATCACGTATATTTAACTGACAAAGATATCTCTTTTCCCCTCCTTAGTTTAAATTTATTAATTAGAAATGGGGTCTTCAACTAGTGAAGTAACTTGTATACTGACATGGTAAGTGAACACTATTCTATCATACAGACATCGTCACTTACACTTATGCTGTTGATAACTTACAATTTCTGAAATTGAGATCTAGCAAATTCTGGATGAAATAGAAATAAATATTTATTTTGGTGTTTATACTACATTTCTTATTTGTCCGTTTTTCTTCTTGTGGGAAGACAGAAAAGCAGCATTAGTACATACAAAAGAGCTTTGGGAATCATACTGCAGGACTGCACACTTGGTGGATGAAGCAGGAGAGAGAATCCTTTAACACAAGTAGCCCGAATTACTTCATGGGGACTTTGTAGTGCCCAACGATAAATGGATTTTCTCCAATCCAGACGAATGTTTCTTGGGAAGAGAGACAGAAGGAACACACAGTGTGACTGAGTTTGGGGTGCTAAAAAGAAAAAACAAAATAAAGCAGGTAATTACTTGATTTAAACGTTGAATATCATCAATCATCATAAGAGGGCAAAGAAAACAATTTTACTTTAGAACAATCGTTCCAGAGAAATACTAGGTTTTGTATACTTTAACATACTTACAGAAACTCTGTGCAGTTTTTTGACTCAAAACTAGAGGATCAAACCCAAAAGCAGATGACTTAAAAGAAGAATCATCAGGATGGCTGTAAATCCAGGGCAGAGACAGCAATCCACATAAGTTATCAAGAATCTGATCACTCAGTGGAATTTTCACTAGGGGGAAAAACAAAACAAAACAACAAAAAAACTGATACTTTTACAGCTCTGTATAGTTTATAAAACAGATGCACATTTTATGTTAATTTGCTACAAAATGTTCTTTTTTCTATCCACTATTCTCACATGTTGATATCCTACATTTTAGACATATAATGATAAATGATGTAGTGCTACATCAAAATAATCTAAAAATTTCATTAAACAGTTGACAGCATGTAATACATGAGCAGCAGAATGAATACAACTTTGATATCTCTGGATTTGTACAAAGACTCAGGGGTGGACTTTGGGATGGCTAGTAAGCTGAACCCATGATAACACTTTAGTCTTAGTAGAGTCTGTCCTCCATCCTACTAGCTACTTTTAAAAAAACATGCAAGTACTTAATATTTTTGGTACACTTCCTGCATGCCACATTTGCTGAAGCTGGTCAGAAGCTTTGCAATCTTTGAGTGAAACAGAGATAGTAAGGCATGCTGCCTCTGTGTGTTTTAAAAAGAAAACTGCTAAAAGTTCGTTTCTTTCTTACGCTTTCTTACGCTTACATTATCCCCATGTAGTCTCTTGTTCAGATAAAAATCAATAGAAGTACAGACAAAGACTAGTAAACCATGTTCAAAAAGGAATGCAAAGGAAGCTCTCTAAACAGAGAAGAATGCTTTTTTTTTTTATTATTTAACCTTTTTTGTACAGGAATTGGAGTTCTAGCACAAGATCTATAATTTCAGTACCTCTACCACAACAGACCAATTTAGTCAGATGCATTCCTAATTTACAAATCCAATAAAAGATATGCTAGTTTAAAGGATTTCTCACCTTGTGCATACAGTAAAGCATCAAAGATTTTCACTATTCTGTCAATCACTTGTTCTAGGTTAACAATCTGCGTAGCAGCCTCTAACAAGTTTCTGCAGACTTTCACTAGTCTTGTGATAAAATCAGAGGAAATCCATGTGAACTGTATATTCACCACTGAATCTGAGGAGCTCGGAGTATTCTTGCATGTGTCAGAGTTACACGGATGAGTTACTTTATGATCTATACTGTTAAAATAGAAATCATATGATCAATGCAACAGACTATAAACGTTTAATATTGTATTGCTTGTAAGCAAAGTTACTATGAAAATGTACTTCTTCAAAACATACAGGACTTACCCAATACTTGTCCTGATACACGGACAAGCATTAAAGTAATCCACACAAATCATAGTAACAGTTAGAAGAAACTATTGGTCTCATGGTTTCACCTTTGTACCTTTACCTGGTAGAATTTGTTGGGGGAGAACAATGAACTATGCACAAAGCAGCTAGTCGCAGAATTACAGCAATCCCTTCTACAGTCTGAAGAATATCCGCTGTCAGAATTTCTTTCTCAAGCAGAAATATTAAGGACGCAGCTTTCTTTGCGATGGCATTCCATAGAGTGCTCTTCAATTTCATGTCTACAGGACTAAGTCTGTAATTCAACCATATTAATTATTTTCCAACACACACTTTTTTTTCCAGAAAAGATAAATCATCATAGCAAAACCAGAGCTAATCCATGTTGGATACAGGATTAGGAAGATACCAAATGAAGCTTTAGCTTAAATGTGTTCTTTGGGAGAACAAGATACTATCTCTGAAGTTAAGTATAATGCAAATTGGACTTATCTGAAAGGCTATAAAGGTATAACTCTACAATCCTTGGAAGGTCATGGTGACCAGGGTGGTTCCTGATGACTATAACAAGGCAAACATTACACCCACCTTCAAGGAAGGCAAAAAAGAGGATTCAAGGAACTATAGGCCTGCCAGCCTAACCTCAGTCCCTGGGAAGGTTATCGAAGAGTCTTCCTTAAACTCATTTCTAGCCACATAAGGGACAAGAAGGTGACTGGGAACAGCCAGCACATATTTATCAAGGGCAAACCATGCCAGACTAACTTGATTCCTTTCTACCATGAGACAGGTAGCTCTGTGGATAAAAGGAGAGCTGCTTATTCGAAGGACCTCAACTGGCTTGAAAACTAGGCTGACAAGAACCTCATGAAGGTTAACAGAGACATATGAAAAGCCCTGCAGCTGGCACAAAAACCCCATACAACGGAACAGGCTGAAGGCTGACTGGCTAGCAAGCAACTTTGGAGAAAATGACCCGACGGACTTGTGGAAAAGTTGGATATAAGAGCAGTGTGACCTTGTTGCAGAGAAGGTCAGCTACATACTGGGCTGTATTATCAAGAGTGAAGGCTGATCATAAGCCCACACCTGGAGTACAGCATGCTGGAGCCAGTTTTGAGTGTCCAAATCCAAGAAAGAGATCAACATGCTGGAGCAAGTCCAAGATAACCAGGTTGCTGAAGCACAGCACAAACAGGCTGAGAGAACCGGCTTTGTTCATCTGAGAACAACCTGACTTAACTAGACCTGCTTTAACCACATCCAGTGCAACAGCATAGCCACATATATGATTCTGTCATTCTGTATGTATTCTCACAGCTTTTCTGTTTTCGGTGTGTAAAAATGAAAATAATTTGCATCGAACATATTAAAAATATAGTCTCTTTAACTAAAGTTTGGCTTAAAAATCATCTGTAGATTCTGATCCTTCAAAATACCATTTAGATCTTTTCCCAGAAGATCTTTCGATGTTCTAGATCTTTTCCCAGAAGATCTTTCGATGTGGCTGTTATGAAGAAACTGCCTCAAAAAAGTTGTCATTTGTTATTATTCACTAGCCAAATTACTATAAAAGTAGTTATTGAATAAGTGTCATACATTACTGGTGTAGTTGATTTCTTTGGATGCTTTGTTGGTAGGCTTAGTCGTCGTCTTTTCTCTGGAACTTCATCACTGCTGCTGCTCCACCCATCAGTATCAGAAGTATCTAGCTGGTTCTGATGAAGCTCCTGAAAGATTTCTTCCGTTTGTGTTTTTAATGCGGTATAAAGTGGACTCACCAGATACTGGGATGGACAAACAACAGAGGTACCATGATGTATGCTATGCCTTACTTCTCAAAGACATGATATTATTGTTTCTGACTTAAAATATAGAATTTCAAAATATTATGGTACAAAGTTCTTAAAAACTTTTCTGTTCAAAAATCTAAATTACAAGATGAAAACTCTCCTAAGCAATGAAATTTCCTGTGTTCCTACCAGAGAGAATGCAGCTTGTACAGCTGTTTCCCAGTTCTTGCCATAATACCTTGCCACCAAAGCCATCAAGACAGACACATTAAGTTTAAGAGACAATAGATATGATATGCATGTGGGTGTATGGGGTAGAGGGAACACTCAGCATATCAACATCTCATTATTAACACCTCATTATGGTTTTAAACTAAAAGAGGGTAGATTCAGATTGGACATAAGGAAGAAATTGTTTACGCTGAGGGTGGTGAAGCACTGGCACAGGTTGCCCAGAGAGGTGGTGGATGCCCCATCCCTGGAAACATTCCAGGTCAGCTTGGACAGGGCTCTGAGCAACCTGATCTAGTTGAAGATGTCCCTGCTCATTGCAGGGGGGTTGGACTAGATGACCTTTAAAGGTCCCTTCCAACCCAAACTATTCTATGATTCTAATTTAATTCAAACCTTTCTGTCTGCCTGTCCCCAACAAATATGACTAAAAGCACACGGTTAAAAAGTAAGAGCAGCTCAGATGAAGGGAAATTACTTGTAAAGCTGCCCTTATATGAGCATACTCTGTGCCTTACCCCAATTTTATACTATGATTACAGACAGACCCTTGTGCCTGCATAGCTTCTCAATAGTTTAATACATCTGAAAAACATAAGGTCCAGCTACATCCAACTAATTAAAGAACTCTGACCTGTACAAATATGGGAAACAGCTGAGAAACAAGAAGTATCAATCTAATTATGCAACTAAAAATAGTATTTCCTAGATTTTCTTCTTTGCACAGATGTAGGGTTTGTACATTATCTATTCACATGATAAATACAGTTTTTAAAATTAACCTACCTCTTGTTCTTCCTGAGTTCCAAGCACATTCACAAAAATTCTGCATATGGTATTGATATGGACTTTTCTTACTTGTAAGGCAGATTCATAGCCAGTTGGAACAAACTCCAGAAAATATTGCAGTATATGGCAAAAAGCAGCTTTCAGCTTTTCAGACTGAAGACACCTGAACACATCACCTTCAAACAATGCACAGAGCTTCTCTAGTAGCATATTCAAATAGACAGGTTCAATATTTTTGTAAGAATCTGCTTCAAAAGGCAACAATGTCCTCACCAACATTAAGAGTGGTTCTCCAAAGAGTTCTGATTCTTCAGTATCCATTTCAAGTGCTGACTGTAGAATTCCAAAAAAGACTGTGAAGAAAACACTGGCCAGCTGTTCTGGATGTCCTCCTAAATGAATTAATTTTACTAAAAATTTCACTGCCAAAGCTTTAACTTTTGGACTGCCATACTCCAACAGGGAGCAGCCTATCCCCCAGAGAATAATATCTTGTCTTACAAAAAACACATCTGCAACAATGTCGGTCAGAATAGACATTAATATAACTTCCAAACATTCTATATTGGGCATACCCATCAGCTGTAATGGTGCCAATCTTAAATATCCCACATTGTCACTTGTATTGCTTGAAAATCTCTTTACAGTCACTGGCCAGACCGGTACATCTCCCCAGAGATGCTTTTGTGCATCTCTTTCATGCAGGAAGATTAAGTCTTGGAAAAGCTCTAGCAAGTCTTTTGTTAGTACTTCAAAAATGGAGCAACTCTTCATTTTAAACAGAAAAAGTAAAGAGCAGATGACATCACAGATGTTCTTGTGCAACGTGTTGCAGTTTGGAGTTGCAGCAATTCGGAGAAGCCTTGTTATGATCCAGTTACTAAATTCTAGGTCAATAAAAAAGAAACAGCAAACAGAAAATTGTTAGGATAAAAACCAAAACCTCGTATTATAAGCACCTCCTTGAGAGCAGGTTGCTCATCAGTAAAACAAAAGAAAACTCCTTGAGATAAATGCATGTAGGCTTAGAAAACAGAGAGCCTTCACTGGCAAATTTCTTCAGCAGATCTCATTGAAAAAGAGAAAAAGGGGAGGTGGGGGGCACATGCAGGGTGTGGGGGGGGAAGACAGACATTTTCCACTGGGTAGTTCCAGACATTTCCTCTGTCAAAAAAACCCTCAGGCAATGAATATGTGTACAGGATCTCTCATCGACATGAACTGGGTAATATCACTAAGCAATGGTAATGAATAAGGTCGAACTCTGTCCTGATAAATTTCCATTACCACAAGTGCAAATCAATTCACAATATTAAAAGTCTATCGTATTATTCACTTACTTACAAATACATAACACTGAACTTATGAATCTGCCTTTTTCCCAGTTTTGTTCTTTTATATGATCCCATTGTCAGAAAATTTTAATCCTGAAAATATCAAGCTTCAGCATAACCATTTTCAACAAACTCACCAATGCAACTGCATTCGGTTTCCTCCTGATTTCCATCCACGTTTACAAACATAAGCGGGGAAGATTTCATGATATGTTGAATAAAGTCAAGCAACATTACAGAACTTGGCTGTGAATCTGGTTTCTTAATGAGTTCCAAAGCAACTTTAAAAAAAAAAAAAAGAAATTTCTAAATTAGCATTGCAATAAACCAACTTCACAAATTTTGTTCACACCTAAAGAGGAAGAAAAAATTTATTATATAA